GTGATAGATATAAGTACCAAAGTTTTTGTGTTATTGTTATTTAAAATTCTGAATAATTATTATGAATTAAAGGTGCATGTAAATTCTTGAATATAATCATTACAAATATCTGGGCCATATTTACAGTGGTATTCATCTTTATTGCATGCATACATTTCACATACACTGCATGTTATGTTATCAAGTATAGACTTAAATTTTTAAAGTTATTCATGCATAAAATGATCAACCACAATAACTGTACCAACATAGTGGTCATTGACAAATTTAAGAAGTTGCAATTATTATTACATATCTAATTTGTAACCATTTTTCCACTGAATTTAGAACAAGATTTGCTTGCCAAATTAAGCTGTACAGTGACACAAATAAGTAAGAGATATTTAAACCATAGTTGTAGACTAGTCACTGCACAACATCCAAGTTCAGTACTCAGTACCAGGCTCAGGCTTTACATAGTTGCTTCATGAATAAATTTGTTAAATTCGCAATATCTGAAGGTTTGGGGCTTATATCTAACCGAGAAGCAGGATTTCAGCAAGAGTAAATCTTGACCTAAGCATTAGCTATAATTTTTAGCATATATAAGATTACCGGGATAGTGAGCAAAGTGGTCCGTAAAATAGAGATGTCGCGGACCATTCGGGTCCGTAAAACAGATTTGTCGCCGACCATGGTCGGTTGGTCCGGTCCGGTCCGTTTTTTAGGGACGACCAAACCAGCCTTTAGCGACCATCCGCCCACGCTCTTTTACGTGGTGGGTGTGGCCACGGAAAACAAAATGGTGGCTTACACATGGGGCAAAGTTAAGAGCTTTCTAACAGCAAGAGAGCATAGAGATACTGTCTAAAGACTTCTCTAGAAGCATTATAAGGTAGAGAGAACCTCCATAAGTCTTAATAATGACAAAGTTGTACTTGCAAGGTGGTGAAATTAATTATAGGAATATTTTTTACCCTGTTACGCTTGTTTACAGAATAACAGGAGTGGAGTCATTAGAGGAGTCATTAGAATGCGAGCTAGCATGAGTCTTCATTTCATTTTCCTGTGGTCTTGGCTATTCCTTTTTTGCTCTGTGAGATGTGCAGTGGATCTTACTACACAGGAAGGGACCAGTGGTTCTGCGATAGTCGAGGCAAGTATCGCTAAAATATCTCTAGCATCCATTTTTACTGACAACGACCAGCATATGCTAAGACGTATTGCCTATGCAGAAACAAGAGATGGAGAGGATTCTGACACGTATTCATCCAATAGAGGGATTTGGGGAGTTGGAGAGTCAAAATACTCGGCCACAAAAAATAGATTCAATCCTCAACTTCTACAAAAGTTAAATAAGATTAGAGAAACTTTTAAAATTGACTGGTTGAACACAAAATGGACTGACCTGAGGAAGCCATTTTATTCAGCTCTTGCTGCTCGACTCTATATGTATGTCATTACTCATTCAATTCCATTAGCGTCGGACATTAATGGTCAGGGAACATACTGGGCTAACTACTTCACAAGCTCTAATGGTACACAATCAGATTATGTGGCTTCTGTCAATCGATTATTAACTTTGCAAAGTAAATGTTTATGTTTTGTTTTATGACTTTACTTGTTGTATCTTATAGATTGCAGTCTAAACGCACTTGATTTATATTTTGTCATGGATGCATCTGGCAGTGTTGGACCAGATAACTTTGATCTAATGAAAGGCTTTGTCTATGAAATTACTGATAGTTTTAATGTTGGCAGTGATAGTGTTCGTGTTGGTGTAATGTCATACGCATCATCCAATTACTACCATTTTCATCTCAACACTTACTCAACAAAATTATCTGTACTCATTGCTATTAATAATTTACCTTACAGTGGTGGGGGCACATACACAGGACAAGCTTTGGATGGAATGAGGACAGTAGGCTTCTCTACATCAAACGGTGCACGTCCCAGTAGTCAAGGAGTACCACGGGTGGGGATTGTTATAACTGGTAGGCATTCAAACAGTTATTCAGCCACTATAACAGCAGCTAATAATGTGCACAATGCTGGCATCATTGTTTTTGCTGTTGGCATTGCTGGAGCAAATCAAAATGAGCTCAACGCTATTGCATCTCAGCCGTCTTATGTGTCCTTCCTTTCCTCCTTCAGTTTGACACTACTGAACTCACTTCAGTTTACTCTTAGCCAAGAGTCTTGTGTTGGTAAGTATAAATACATGTAATAAGTTGTCTAAAATTCTTTTCTTCTCTGTAGCATCACCTAAAATTGAATTAAATAGTACTGTTACTGATAATATTGGATCAGGGCAAACAAAGTACCTTAATTACCCACTCCCTAATAATACTCAAGGCATTACTGTTGTCCTCAATGTGACTAATGGCTCTGTTACATTGTATGCATCAACAGTTGTCTCAACACCAAATGAAACATTTCATGAGTTTAAGCTTGTAACTAATACATATGAAGATGTATTTATTAATCGTTCGAGCCTAAATAATTCTGGAACTGCTGATACTGTTTTTATTGCAGTTGAGGGTAATGGTATATCAAACCAAATGCAAATCAGTGCAACCCAAGGAGATACTTCAACTGGTAGGTTAATATTAAATCAACATCCAAGTACTATGATTAATATTGTTTGCAGAACCTGTAGCAATAGATGTGTTTCTGAATCCTAATATTTTTAAGAGCTATGGAGCAACCATTACTGTTGAGTGCATTGCCCATGGAAAACCACAACCTGATCTGAATTGGTACATAG